AGGGATCTTTGTGGCTTAAGGTTCAGGGTTTAGGGATCTTTGTGGCTTAAGGTTTAGGGTTCAGGGATCTTTGTGGCTTTTGGGCTGAAGCTTCAAGCCTTAGGCAGCCTGAGGCCTAGCTGTGCGGCTGTTCAAGCTGCGCTTGCCATGTTGCATTGTGAAACGTTGAAGGTTTAGGGTTTAGGGTTTAGGGTTTGCATGTTGGGAAGCTGTACAGTTTTCAAGTCTCGCAAAGCTACTAGCCTGGGAAAGAGTCGCCCTGTACTGCCTTGGGGGCTTGCAGGTTCCAAGGTTTAGGCTGTGGTTTAAAGGACAAGTTCAGGCTTCAGAGCGCGATGGTTCAGATACTTACTTGGAGGTTCATGGGTAGTTATAAGTAGGGTTATAAGTCCCGTAATATGGGTTATAACTATAGGTACCCTAATTATAACCCCACTTATAACTACCCATGAACCTCCAAGTACTGCATGTTCAGGAACGCATTTATCGAACTGTGGCTTTCGGGTCGGTATTCTTGATCCGCAGTGTGGGGGACCTGAAGTCAGAATCAAGTTGTCGACGGAAGGAAATCTCGACATCTTTCCGGGGCAAGAACGGCAGAATTCCTATTCTTCTCAACCGCCACCCCAAACCCCAAACATACCTGAACCCTAAATCCTAAACTTGTTGGGAAGCCTTAAAACCTTAATGCAAAGCCATTGCAGAACCCATGCATCAGGAAACCTCTATTGTGGGAGTTCTGTGCAGACCCAGTCCGGGCGGGGGGCGGTTCAACAGATGGGATCGAGGGTTCTGTTCATGGACAAACAGAAACCCCCCAAAAGGGTTTAGGGTTTAAGTTTTGTGGGGTTTGGGCTTTAGGGTGTAGGGAAGACAGGCAAAGCATAAGAGCGCAGAGCGCCTAAGAAAAGCCCCTAAACCCGAAACCCTAAACCCTAAGAAAAGCCATCAGGCTGCTTCGTGGAGGACATCTCCCTTGGGGCTGTGCCCGCAGCAGCCCCAGAGTGTAGGCCTTCTGAGAGTTGGGCTTCCGAGCGGTTTAGGGGTTAGGGGCTTTGGGTTTAGGGTTTAGGGGTTTAGGGTTTAGGGTTTAGGGGTTTAGGGTTTAGGGGTTTAGGGTTTTGGGTTTGTGGCTCTGAGTAAAGAGAGTTTATGGGTTAACTGTTTAAAAAAGAAGCCTAAATAATTACCTATACTATCTTTCCTTGTTATAAGTAGAGAATAAAGGGCCACCAAAACCCTATTCTAAAACTTAAGGCCCCTACATGAACTGGAACATGCATTGGGATGTTGGCTCTAGGAGTCTACCCGTCTTTCCACAGGTAACGCGCGGTGACCTCTGGATTGGAAGGTTTGGTATGTGCTTACAAGTTACAGATAACAGAGTTTAGGGTTTAGGGTTTAGGGTTGGGTTTTCGTGACCATGATCCTTCAGGAGTGCGCTGACATCCTTGCAGAACCCTGCAGCACATACGTGCATCCCCTTCAGTGCTCGTCGCAATCGATTCTGCCATGATCACACTGCGAAATAATGTGAGCAGATTAACTCCATGGCTGTCAGCAGCGTTATCATCGTCACAACCATCATCGTCACCATCACCATGACCGTTGCATTCATCCTGTCGTCGTGGTTTCCTGCTCCAGACACTGCAACCCTAAACCCTAAACCCTAAACCCTAAACCCTAAAACACTGCACCGCCGCAGCGCTCATTTCTAGCTTCAAGCTGTCGAAGGCCTTCTCCGAGCCCTTTCCTCAAAGCCATGGCAAACTCAGATGTCGAGCTCCTCTTGTCCGAGGACGGTCTAGGGTTTAGGATTTTGGGTTTAGGGTTTAGGGCCAAACCCTAAACCCTAAACCCTAAACCCTTTTTAGGGTTTAGGGAGGAGACGGAACAAACTGACCCCAAAAGCTGATCAGAGTGCACCCCTTACCCCAGGTAAGTGTTATGGTTTGAGGTCTATTCCTTCCTTAAGGAGCATTGAATAACATAGGGGCCTCAATACATAGAACAGGGTTTTGGGGGCTGATTACTATAATTATAGTAAAATACACCCCAAACCTCATTATAACTGTTAGGGCCCCTGTATTATTGGGGTTTGTGGCATCTCAGTCTCTCGTCTTCTTGAGCTGGAGCTTGGATTACATAGTGTCCAGCATTCTGAAGCCCTTAATCATGCAAACAAAAGGGTTTCGGGTTTATTGGTTTACGGGTTTTAGGGTTTAGGGTTTAGGGTCTAGGGTCTAGCGTTTAGGGGTTTAGGGTTTAGGGGTCTAGGGGAGTAGGGGATTAGGGGTTTAGGGTTAGTTTAGGGGTTTAGGGTTAGTTTAGGGGTTTAGGGTTTAGGGTTTAGGGGTTTAGGGTTTACGGTTAGTTTAGGGGTGTTCGGTTTAGGGTGCCTGCGTTTGCCATCCAAAAGGTCCGGAAGTCCTCACCCCCCCCTTGACGGCAGGGAGCGCTTTGCTGCATGGAAACAGTAGCCTATAGGGTCCATCTAAGCTATTACTATGGAGTTACTTAGAGGTTCATGGGTAGTTCTAAGTAGGGTTATAAATCCGCGAATATGGGTTATAACTATAGTTACCCCACTTATAACTACCCATGAACCTCCAAGTAGCCCATAGGGTCCATATAAACTTTTATTTTGGAGTTAGGTCCCAAAAGACCATCCCTATTCTGGCTTTGGGGACGTCCCGAAACGCTGAATCCTCAACCCTAAACCGTAGTCCCCAACCCCTAAACCCCCTAACCTCAAGCCTTAAACTCACACTGAACCCTTAATAAACCCGAAACCCTAAACTCTTAAACCCGTGAACCCTAAACTCGAGCCAAGCCTCGCCAGGAAAACCAGCTCCCGCAAGTGAGCAGTTTTCCTCGCCGTGTGGCCTCTTTGCCTGAAGCACAAACTGGGGTCGTTCCAAGTTCGGGTCTCTTTCAGATTGAAAAAAGAGTTTAGGGTTTAGGGTTTAGGGTGTGCTAGCCGGGAGCCTGGTTCAGAGCCATCAATGTGATTTACCCTACTGCTGCAGAAGTGCCTTCGCATAATATGGAGGTCTGAACAACTGGCAGCAGTGTCCCTCTATGTTCCCCATATTAATGATATTAGATCATTACGGAAAACCTTGTTCTATAGAGTTGTTAAAGGCCCCTACATAGCCTTACAACCGCGTACCCCACGGGGCTGACATGAGTCGGAAGTCATTATAAAGACATCCTGTTGTCCTATGCCGACACCCGCCGTCAAAAACCCTAAGGGTCCACCTGCCCAAATGGGTGGTTGTCAAAATTATGGTCCCTTTTTGGGTACTCATTATAATACGGCACCTATTATTTAGGGTACCCCAAAAGGGACCATCATTTTGACAACTACCCAAATAAGGATTACTTTAAGGGTTCAACAAGGGCTTCAGGAATATCCTACGTCCTCTAACCTGCCATCCTCAGAGTTTCCAGAGCTTCCGACGAAGCTGCTAGAGGCCATGAAGATTCGTGAAGCCACGGTTTAAAGTTTAGGGTTTAGAGTTTAGGGTTTAGGGTTTAGGGTTCTACAGCCGTGTCAAAGATGTCGGAGAGTCGGTCTGACTTTCAAATGCTCGCAGTTGGATGCACTGCGGGAGCTCGCCAGCACTCTATCGCCCGAGTCAACTATGAAATCATGGCACCCAGCTGCAGAATCAAGCGGTGATGCCGCTATGTGCACGACACCGAAGCCATGAGTTACATCTAAGTGACATAGCAGCGGGACGCCCACACACCCCAATCAGACCCAAAGACGCACCGCCAACCCTGAGCTTAAGAAGTTGTGGGGCCGACAGGGCCGACACCTGAAATCGGCCTGAAACCCGACAAGCCTAGATCCCAATGCAGCAGAAGCCCAAGCTCTCTGCTCCAGATACCCCTAAAGCAGTAACTGTAAACCTTAAACCGCCACAAAAGCCGAACTGATCAAACGAGTTAAGGCCCTAAACCCCAATCCCGAAATCCTTAATCCCTATGATCCCCAAATCCTAATTCCCAAACCCCTAAACCCTAAACCCTAAACCCTATGAGGCCCTTGCTTTGGGAGTCGTCGGCCTGGTCGGGCTTGGTCTCGCCGCAAATCGTGGCGTCCCTGGCCTGACGAGCCCTGGGCTCCAAAATGGGCTCCTCTAAGGGGGGTTCAGGCGTTTAGGGTTTAGGGGTTAGGGGTTTAGGGGTTTAGGGTTTTGGGTTTTGGGTTTTGGGTTTAGGGTTTTGGGTTTTGGGCTTATAGGGTTTAGGGTATATAGGGTTTAGGGTATATAGCCCCAGCTCCAAAATGGGCTCCTTTAAGGGATCGATCCTGTGAGGGTTCCTTTGCAAAGTACTACGGTTGATGATATAAATCCTGCATTACCCATAATGAGAAATATGACCATAATCACCATAGTGTAGGGTCCTTAAGGTAATGCAGGATTTATGTCATCAACTGCATGGGGGTGTTGTGGCTTAGGCTTCGGAGGTCGGGCTTCAGGAGATCAGGCTTTGGGGTCTGCCTAGACCCCTCTATGTGGGTAGTTGTCAAAATTATGGTCCCTTTTGGGGTACCCTAAATAATCATGGTTGTAATCGGGCGGT